TGAATGGCATAGAACATGTACGAGTTGCGATAATTTTCGATAATAATGAAAGAGAACGAAGATGCCGACTGTGCGGCTAATACTGACCAGATGAAAATGTTTTATGGCGGGCAGATATGAAGGAAGTCCTAAATAAAGGAATAACGTTGGCATAACTAACTAAAGCATTTACTATTTTTAGGACTGAAAAGGGAAATAACCAATTTAAAATGGAGTGTTAAGGAGGTTATTGAAAATTAAAATTAGAAGTTTGTTTTACTTAGTTTTACCTTACACATATAGCAATGACCTAATAATCTTTGTGGCCGTGAACTCGATTATTTTATGTTGTCTCCAGCTAAAATAATGCTTCGCTCCTTTCTTCAAAGGGATCAGAGTATCACTCATGCTAAAAAATTTTCTTTCCTTTCTCAGAAAAAAACTATGAAAAGCGTATTAGAACATCCATATTCTCCACAGAGTTAACGCCTCTTGCATATATTCTGTAATAATGCAAAAGTATGCTATAATCTAGCTGATTTCATGGCATGATGAACACGAAATATGTTTTTCGCCGTTGATGAATGTTACAAGCACATAAATGCAGATGAATAAATAGAAACTGCTGTTATAAGATTATAAACGCTTGAGAAGGGCACTTGGAAGTGAAAATTTCCTTTCCTTCCAACCAAGTTTGATTGCCTATGATTTTACAGCATTTCTGTTGCATCTTTGAATGCATTGCGATACCGCTTACTTTCAAGTCACACGTTGACCACCCCTGGAACATAACCAACCCGTAAGTGACTAGTACTTTTAACAAGAGAAATAAACATTGGGATTGATAATTACATCACTATTTTCTAATACGACTGAGTAATCGTATTAGAAACATCCCCCAACAGGATATGAAATAACGCAGGCACCAAAATGAGCAGTTTATTTCTCAAAGTAAAATTTTCATATTGGGTAGAAACATAAGTAATAGCCATTTATGTTGCGCTTAAAATTACGCGGAAAAATAAAATGTATTGGCATAGTGTTTTGTGTTATTCGAAAGAGAATCTTTCCCTCTGCAAGATGGCGTATATGATTTTTTGTCTGACCTAATTTTTTTATTTTTTCAGATCATTAAAACGGAGTGTCAAGTGGACAAAATAAGCATTTTCGACACCTTCTTCTTTTTGCGTTTAATCGAGGCGCCAATGCTGCAGAAACTGCCCGACAGATTTATGAAGTGTATGGAGAAGGTATACAATGCCTGAACGAACTGCAAGAAATTGTTTTGCCAAATTCAAAATGGAAATTTCGACCTCGAAGACACTGCTCGTTCCGAATGGCCAAATGAGTTTGATGAAGAACGTTGAATCAACTTCTGCACGAAGACGCGCGTCAAACCACTCGAGAATTAACCTAACGAAAGGGTTGTAGCCAAATGACTATACACTGGTGTGCAAAAATTAAGGACGAGACGGTTTTTTCAATATAACTTTGTACAAAAGCTTTCCAAATCAACACATTTAATACCGTAAGATCCCCAATACGTTAGGACATGAGTAATGTAAGCAACACTTACTAAAAGAGAAATCAGAGGGATAAAAAGAAGCTTTATTGAAAAAGTAGCATGGAGCGCATTGCGACTGAAGGCCGAAACATCCCTGTGATGGGTGTCCAGCAAGAAACATCCGGTCTTTAATAGGGGATATGATCTCCCCTGACTGCTAGGCAGGTTTCACAGCGTCTGCCCATGCTGAGAATGAGGGTGTCAATGACTTGTTGAGGCATTGCTGCCCATTGGTCTTGCAGCGCCAATCGAAGCTCCGGAATCGCTACTGGTGGTAAGGTACGAGCTGCCAAGCGTCTGCCTAGAAAATCCCATACATGCTCGATGGGATTGAGATCCGGAGATCGTGGCGGCCAATCCATACGTTCAATATCCTCACTCTCTAAGAGCTGTTCGGCAGCTACTGTGCGATGACATGGTGCATTGTCGTCCATGAAAAGGAACTGCGGACCCATAGCGCCTTTAAAAAGACGCACATATGGAAGAAGAATCTCGTTACAATAACGGGTCCCGTTGACTGAACCTGCGTCGAAGATGTGAAGGTCTGTACGACTACCAAGCATGATGCCTCCCCAAACGAGAACACCGCCACCTCCATATCTGTCCCTTTCAATGATGTTCGAGGGATGATTGCGGCTTCCCCGCTCTCTCCAGATGAGTATCGCTACTCAGACTGAATCTGCTCTCATCTGTAAAGAGTACTCGTCCCCATTCATTGTCTCTCCAATTCCGGTGTTCCCGGCACCACAGAGAACGCCTTCTCCGATGGGCAGGCGTTAGAGGTACACACCGTACAGGGCGTCGTGCAAACAGACCACCACCGTGCAGTCTTCTGGCCACGGTAAAACGCGATATCGGTCGTCCAGTCGCCTGTGTCGTGTGTCTAGCGATTTCTCCCGCTGTCTGCCGCCTGTTTCTTCTGGCCTGTAAGGCAATATACCGGTCATCTGCGGGTGTGGTTCCTCGTAGACGACCACTACTAAACCCCCGGATAGCTGTTCCTGTAGTTTGAAATTGTCTCCAAAGTCGTGAAACGATGCTGTGAGCAATTCCGAACTCTGCAGCTACACTTGTCACACTGCGGCCTTCCTCCAACTTCCCAATGATTCGACCTCGGGTAAAAGCATCCAGATGTCGTCTAACAGATTGATTATTCGCCATTTCTCGCTGAGACAGCAACTCGGTGTGATTTTAACTGCTATACGGCATGCAATCTCTTTGCCAGAAATATTGATCATACACCGACAACATGCTTTATACTACTCAGACACTCCCCCATTACGTCTGCCTGCATATCTGCGCATGTGCTACCGTACATCACCTTACTTAATCTCCTGATTGGTCTTTCTGTCCGCTCTGCCTCTTCGTTCAGCTGATATGCTAATTTTTCGACTTCGTCATTAATTTTTGCACACCAGTTTAGTTCGACATGTTGGATCTATGGGGAAAGTCCAAAAACTCAGATATTATTGACTAATTGTTTTTTGTTAAAATAAGAATATTTTAATTAAAAAAACGGCCATTACTTATGTTTCAACAAAATATTTTAAGCAAAGCAAGCAACTACGCTTCTTTATTACTGAACCAAATCTACATTTTATCTAAAACAGTAATTTATCTACTTTACACTTTCTCGGAATGGTAAAATTTACTACGTACTAGGCAAACTCTTGAAATGATTCATCACAATCCTAAACCGTTTATACCAAAATTTTCCTTTATGTAGTTAACGACATATGCAAACAAATGTTCAAGTGACGCGAAAGGGTACTTTTTTTATTTATTACTACAACCCGTCACGTTTATTTCGAAGTTGAAAGGTAAAACGAATTATATGGATACAATAAATCTTAAGCTATTAACCTTATATTAAACTATAAGGTATTTCTCCCGCCTTCTTAGCATGCCTTCGTGGTACAGTGGTCAGCACGGCGCGTATTCGACAGGTCCATGGTTCGAGTCCCGGCGACGGCATTGCTTATTTTTCTCATCTTCTGTTTCGAAATAACTGAATGCCTCTACAATGGCGCCGAACTAAAAATAGTGGTGGATGATGATTCTCCACCGCCAGGATTTGGCGATTGGGTCTTCTAATCCCCAGTCGCCCTTTAAAAGGAGGAGTGTATAAGGTATGTCTTCCCCCTTCTTAGCATGCCTTCGTGTTGGAGTCGCGCACGAAGCGCAGCACGCGCGGAGCGTATTCGAGAGTTCCGTGGTTCGAGTCCCAGCGAGGGCATTGTTCATTTTTCACATCTCCTGCTTCGAAATAACCTAATGTCTCTACAAAACTATGAACAGAACCAGAAGTGAAGTAATCAGAAGCGCGATTAAAAGTTACCTGGAAGGTCCATCGCAAGTGCATTTAGCAGAAAAGTACAAATATGGCAGTAAATTTTCTTGCATTATTAAACAAGATCTAGCATAGTGCAGTTTTCTAAGCTTTTATAATCTTTAAACTCAATAAATAAATTAAAAGAGTGAAATCGTAATTTAGGAAGTAATAAGGGTCGACTCATTTCATGAAATTAGGGAAAGAAGTGATGAATCAAAAGAGAAAATTAAATAGACAATCTTCACGGTTCATGAGTTGGGTATTTTAATAAGTAAGTGAGTGTTTCGGAAATTTTCAAACAAAATTTATAATGTAAATTTATGGCAATTTCTTTTTTAGACATAAGATCCGCTTTCTGTATCGTAAAATATTATTAACTTACAGCATTTCAAAAAATTAAATGTAAAATTAGCTATTTTCTAATTTTTGCCTTAATAATATTCAATACTTAATTCTTTCACAGTTTTATAAATATAACGAGATTAATAAAGCGATACGCCCTTTTGTTTCTTCAACAAGGAAATGTAGTGAAAGTAATTGACTGAAAATAGCAAAAGTCTATATGGATAATTCTTGCTATTTATTTAATAATTATTCTCTGTTTCCTCTACGGCCTCTTTTCTCATTTTCTCTGATTATAAAACATCATTAAGGATTAACTTGACTCGTTTATTTGCAACGCTCATTATGCCGAGATCACCTTATTCGCACATGTTTCTAAGTAACGCCTGCATAGCATCCAAAACCTTGATACATAGTGTAGCGTAATACTAGGAAAGTATTTTACCTAGACTCCAGAAATGTATATGTTTAAAGTGCTGTTTTCCCTCACCCTTCAGAAATAAGCGAAACAACGCTTTTACAAAGCGATGTGACGTAAATTGATATCCAACAGAAATATGAAAACGGATTTTTACTCGTATAACTTGACTTTCAGAGCACGATTCAAGAGAAATTCTCAGATGTTGCAGCTAAAATAGCCCCCCGCGGAATTTGTAAAAACGGGAGCTATTGAGGGGGATTTAGTTTCTCCTCAAAAAGCGCATGCGTGCGTTCTCTTGAGCTCCCCCATGTGAGAAAACCGATGTCGCTGGACGAAAAGTGCGTGTCTTCTGCCTTAAAGCGCGTGACGTTCGGATCGTTCTTTCTTCCCGATTGAGAAGTTCTCCGTGAAAGTGGGCGCGGGAGAGTTATTAGGTGGCTGGATATCCTGAGACCCTCAGCTGGACTCTCAGTCTTTTTGTGGAATATTTATTTCCGGTATCTCACTTCCTTCTTAAAATCTGATCACTGTATTAAAGTAAAGAAAGATATTAAGGTAACGTACGTTTTATCCTACATTATTTTATATTATTTTATTTTATATTTACTGAAACAAATTTGCAATGAATTGTTTTAGAAAATAGAATTAATCTTGAATAAAAGCATTTTCCGTAGTTTAAGTTTTTACATCCAGAAAAGCGGCGACAAATTACAAAATTAATTAATTAATATTTTAACTTAAAGTACTGTAACTCTTAGAGTACATAGGGGGAGGTTTGAATATGAGTTGATTACTTTTTTAAACCGCCTTTTTAAATGCATACACATTATATATTCGCAGATGAATGTAACTTAACATTTGTTACTAAACTTCTACGCTAAAAAAGACGTTACATACCGTCTAATAAAATTTCTGTGAAATATTTTGAATGTATCAAGCTCATATCTGTGAAGACGTCTTATATGAAACCCTTCTCAAATTTTTATAAATCATCTTCACATTCGTAAAGATGGGTTATATATTCGAAACTCTACAATTTAATTTGCATAGTCGAATTTTATTATATACATATTTTATGTATATAATGGCAAAAGCAATTTCACTTTTCTCAGAATTGATACTTAAAAATTGATTACGGTTGTATAATTGGAAGTTAAAATAGTGCCTGGCAGCTAATATTGATTTTGATAGTACGATACTTACAGTAACCATCTATAAATGTCACAGATGGGTACATCTGACAAGTCTCTTTCTTTCTTTTCTTTTCTTTTTTTTTTTTTATTTTATTTTTGTCTCGCCTGCATTTTAAATGTTTTGTGTTTAGTTTAAATTTTTGGGAAAGTGTTGAGCTTAAACGAGAAATGAAAAAAAAAAAAATTAATTTATACAAAATTCGTTGATTTTCATCGAATCTTAAAATTTTTGTTATTTTCCGAATTTATTCTATTTCTAGTTTGTGAATGGACTACAGATATGTTTTACAGTTCTTTTTTAACTCATTATTTATCATACAAGATTATTTTATTTTTAAATGGAATAAAATAGCGAAACATTTTAAACTCTTTGTTTTAAAATATTGTTTAAAGAATTTTAATTTGGACGTACTCGAATGACATCTAAACTCCAAATGCTGTTTATAAATTAAAGAAGAATAAATGCTATCAACTATCAAACTCTTTGTTTCCCTATTTATACCACTGAAAATCTTATTAAATGAATACATGGTGTTCAAACGAATTCCATAATTCCTTTGAATACGATTTTAAATATTCTGTCGTAGTATTCGCACTCAAAAAGAGCTAAAGTGCTCAGTATACAGGATCTAACTCTCTTTGGCCACATAAACTGGTCTAGATCCTACTAATGATGCTAGCAAGTTCTCACACAGGCGTGAAATAATACCAGCACAGAAGAAGGGTGAAAACACCCTTTATTAATTCCAGCTATGAACAGAAAGGCACGTACTTCGTGCATTACAATAACACCGACAAATTGCGGTGGAACTGAATCGTTTTTACTTATCAATTGAATTCTAAAAAGAATAGCGCTTGACTAGCACTTTAAGCTACGGCTAAACTAGGTTGACTCGATAACCTAACAGGCGTGATACTTATTTAAATGGCCAAAAGGAGTTTCAACGTAACAGCAGTGTCAGAAACGAAACATGCGCTGGCTAACGAAATCACGCTCTGAATATACTCCAAGCTTCTCCCGTTTAAATACTCACTTATCTTAACTTTAAATTAGCATCCTGGCGAGGAAATGCGAGGGGAAGTTGAGGAGTTCAGTAAAGATAACAAAATGTTAATAATTGGTTATTTGATGTAAGGGAAACCTTACAAGTATATAAGCTTTATTTTATTCAGGTGTTCTGTTTTTATCTAAGAGGTTTTAGATTGCTTGTTTGCAATATTACTTTACATAAATCAACTCTTTGTGTCGTACCAGTACGCACTTTAATAACGCTCACTTTATATAACGCCGATACCATATTAATACGGATATAAAAGGGTAATATGTTTTTATATAGATATCCGCGTATGTTATCGTCAGGTACAGAGAACCAACCTTTTCTGAGATAACCGACAGTTCCAGACAATTTGAATTCTTAGTGATTTTTATAAAAGATTACTCTCACTGAAGGCGATTATTGATTTGCTCAATGAATTCATCCTACTCAAGGTTGTTGGGGTAGAAATTGAAAATTACTGAAGTGAAGACGTTTTTAATGCCCTTGAATACAAGTATGAATTAATTAAGGAACAGTATCTGTAATATAGCCTCCAAATAAATAAAATAGATAAATAATGCAATAAAATAAAAATAAAAATAAAAACTCACTTATATTTTATTTCCTGAAATACTGTAAATGTATATTTTCAAATACACAAACACCACCAAAAAAAAAAAAAAAAAAAAATCAGGAAAGGAGGAAAAGAAAAAGTGGGAAATATGTTCTTTTGTATTAAAGAAAACATCCTTAATTAATAAATTTTGTTTAAAAATTTCAGAACTATTCAATGCTTATTGAAATAGTCACCCAAAAACGTTGGCAAACTTTGTTGAATCAATTAGCAGCCTCTTCACTAACTTTTCATTTTTCTAAAACTTAATGGTTTTAATTTTCTTTAAACATCTCAGGCTATGGTACTTAAAATTTGCTAAGATTTTTGAAGTTTAAAACAATATAAAAAAGGAAAAAAGGTAAAACATTGCTTTGAAGAGACATTAGGTTTTTTAAAGCAGGAGATGTGAAACATGTGCAGTGCCTTAGCCGGGATTCGAGCCTGAACTCTCGAATACACGTCGAGTGTGTATTCGACAGGCATGCTGGAAGGAGGGAGAAAAAAAAAACCTTATACACTCCCCCCCTTTTACAGGGATTACGTGACCCAGTCGCCAAATTCTGGTGATGACGAATTATTGTTCAGTAGCTTTTAGTTCGGGCGCCACTGTAGGGACATTAGGTCTTTTTGAAGCAAGAAAAATGTGCAATACCCTCGAAACTGAAACTTGAGCTTCAACGAAACTCGAACTCGAGCCCACTGAAACTCGAGCTTGAACCTTTCGAATATGCGTCGAGTGGGCTACCGTTACAACACGAAGGCATATGGAAGGAGGGAGAAAGTACCCTTAGCTTGACCACTGTTCACTTCGAAATAAACACGATCGGCTGCAATAACTTGTCGCACATAACTGAATTGACTTAGTGCCATTTGAGAATTGATTTGTTATGCAATATCCGCTTTTCGGTCAGGAAATGAATACGTTAGTATAAACTTTAGGGTTGTAATGAACCACTCAGGAGATGTTTCATATTCCTAAATCGGGCATGTGAGATAAATTATATCACATTTAAACCGATAATTAGCTACGTTTTTCAACAAAAATATATTTCTTACATCATTATGATAAAGTGGTGCTTTTAGGTTTCAAATTTAGTGTCTTATGTGCATGTAAAATTTTCATTCTTCATTACTATACAGAAATAATTTCTTATGTTTACTGACATAATTTAATATGTATAACTTTAAAAAATACATTGACGTTATCATTAAAAATTAGGTGGCATTTAAATTCTCTCTTATTTAATCATTCGTGTAATGAAATGAATTGCCACAGGTAACCTAAAACATTAATGAAAGTACTTCTAACTGTACACAAAACTATTAAATGAAACCCCAGAAAAGAGACAAAAGTTCAGAAGAACAGAGAAAAGTATTCAAAAGGATATAGAAAAGTATTTACTATGTGCTAACTATAAAAACACCATTAGAGAACCAGAGCAAATATTTTGCAAATATAGCAAAAAATTATAAATAGTGGATCAAAAGCCAGATAATTAAGATGTCCTATGAACATTTTATTTTGTGAATATAAATTCCCTTCAATTCATTATATCGGCTAAGCGATATTAAATAGAAAATATGGAAGTGTTCGATAGAAAATCATGAAATATTCATATGCTGTTTAACGTAGCACCATTTTAGAGTTTTAAAGTACTATATAATTTTAGTCCATATAGCTCAGTTTTGATCAAGAAACGGGTCGAAGATTTTATTCCATAAGGGAACAAATTATAACCCATCAACCCATTCAAAACATAACCATATTAATCAGTAAATCACCAAAAATAGTCCTCCAATATGCTAATTCAAAATAGCAGTCCTTAAAACAGACAAAGTTTTCAGATGATTAAAATTAAGGACCTTCTGGCAGTTTGGGCTGAAATTAAGAACTTTTAATGACCAAAAATCAATTCCAAAAAACCCTAAGGACTCTTAAAAACGATACAAATCCTGCATTAAAATTTTTTTAAAACTCGCTATTAACGAATTTACATAAAATGTATGTGAAAAGACACATACTCGTATAAAATTCAGAACTGCTTAATGAATAATGGCAACAAGTTTACAGATACTCGTGGACAGTTGTAGCATTGTCTCAAAGAGGTGAACGAAGTGCTGAACCAGTGGACACAATCATGATACATCAGACTTGAATCTCATAACAGTCATGGCTCGAAGAACTGGAGTCTTAGTCTTCCAAACAAATATCACATACCAAACCCAAATTGTCTTGTCCAAACAGCACATACCTGTACTCCTGTTCTAATTTTGTTTTAGTTTCGCATTTCACACATATAGTGCGGTCCTAAAATAAGCAACTAATGTTGCCCTCGAGAACAGGGAATTCGTTGCAATTTTGGCTAGGTAAGTCAAAATGGAATGTGATTGCAAAGTACGAAAATAGCAATAAACGCATATTGCGATTACCGTAGCAATAAATAACATCTCTAAAATCTCCAATATAAATGCCAGGTTTTGCAATAGAGCGAGATTCTTCATGGTTGAAATGAGTATACAACGTTAGAATGCTGCAATAAAGAGAAAAGTAACAAAGATAGTGGTTTTTAAACATCAAAATGGTGGGTACAAGGAAAATAACACGAGGAGAGAAAAAATAAAGGTGAAACAATCGTTTAATGATAAGCAAATCTCATAATCCATTTTTCATGGTGGCGTTGTTCAATTACTTGCTCGTTGATCTCGCCA